TTTTTCTCATTTGCAATTTGTCCATATCTTGTGCCTATGGTTCTGTTGTTTTCCTCTTAAAATGACCTGTCACTCTGATTTGTTATATATCTTCCATTTCAGACCATTGCTTGCCTTTTAAATTTATGACACCTGTTTTTCCCTATAGGACTTGGAAATCTGTGGAATAATCATGCTGACCAGTCTCTTCCTTGACAACTTGGTCTTCTTAGTATTCAGAGAGCATTTCCTATTGAAAACTCTTCTGTCTCTCCCAGAAGGGTTGCATCACACAGCTGCATGTTCGTATTGGGGAGAGCTGATTAGCTGTTCTCCCACCTGCAAGTGGAACTTTCCGGAACAGGGCCTTTGTGCTTGTCTACTTTGTGCAGGTGTTTCCAGGGCAGGTGCATCTGTTGGGTGTTGGTCTTGACATTGCCATTAAAGTGGTAGGAGAAAGATATCTTCCTTTGGACCATGGTGGCCATAGGCCTGTGCAGCCCACTCCTCCCGTTAAGCTGGAAAGGAGCTCTAGATTGGAGAGAGAGAGGACTCAGAACTCCCTCATCTTGTGTCTGGTGGAAGAACAGGCGTCTTGGATGCAGGTGTTGGGATCACTATTCTGAATTTCCTATGAGTTCAAAGCTCTGATTCACCCTCGGGGGGGTACCATGACCACCCCAGTTTTTCCGGCTGAGGAAATGAGGCATGACAAAGCTGAAGTCTGGATTTAATATTGCACCATGCTAAGAATCCACCTCTCAGTTCTGTGTGGACTCAGTCTCTCAGGGTCTTGGAAAGGAAGCTTTGAGGAGTTTCTTATTCCTTGTCAGATACCTTGTTGGTTTTACTTATTCTGTGAAGTGGGTGCTGTGTTCCTGTTCTACAGATGAGAAAACACTGAACTCAAATCAGGCAATAATGTGATCGGGGTAGGTCACAGGTAGAAACACCAGAGCTGAAATTCAGAGTTCCTGCTTCCCCACCATGGCACTCTTTTTTCAGAGTCTTCCAAGAAACACACACACACACACACACACACACACACACACACAAAGTTACTAATATAAGAAAAAACATGTTTGGAGTTAGCCAGCTGAACTCAGTTTACGTGATTGCAATTTTGTTGGCGACACACAAAGCATCCTGATCAGGAGCCAGCTGAGCAGATGCCTCTCTTTCTCCATCTGGCCTGATGGTTGTATTGATTTTGACCTTGTCAGTGTCACAGAGTGTCTTCACAGCCTGTTTGAAATGCTGCTTGTAGGTCTTTTTTTCTTTTTTAAAGATTTACTTATTTATTTGAAAGACAGAGTTACAGAGAGGCAGAGAGAGAGAGATCCATCTACTGCTTTCCCAGGCCATAGCAGAGAGCTGGATGGGAAGTAGGGCAGCTGGGACTTGAACCAGCACCCATGTGGGATGCCGGCACTGCAGGCGGTGGCTTTACCCACTTCACCACAGCACCAGCCCTTCCTGTAGGCCTTGACATCACAATGAACACAAGCATGCTCTTGTCTTCTATCTTGACTCTGTGGTCAGGGGTAACTTAATGATGGCCAGTGGTCAAGTTTGTTTCTCCTGGGGGAGCTCTTTCAAGGATATTTGGGCCGCCTCTGGAGGTTCCGTGTCTTGGGCTGCCGGAAGTGGGTGACATGCGGATCCTCTTTATTTTGTGGCTGGAGACGTCTTTCAACACTGCCTTCTTGGCCAAAAAAGCATTTGCTTTGGCTTTGGCTGTGGCTTTGGGAGGAGAGGAGCTTCCTTCTCCGCCTCTGGCACCTTCATGGTAAAAAGTGTTTGTCTTTTTTCCTTCTAAAAATTCAGCAACTAGCACAGGTGCTACTAGTGAATTGTGTCCACCACGAGGATGTTTTCATTTTTGCTTGGCTGCAATCGAAGATCAGGTCTGCATCGTTTAGAAAACACTTGACTTTTAAGGGACACCTTGAAGGTTTCCTCCAAAAGCATCCATTACGTTAAAGTTGCTGTATTTTACATCTTGAGAACTTCATGGTTGAATGGGTTAGTGATTTCCGTTTATTGCTCGTCTATATTCCTTTGGGAGCACTCCTTGAACCTCAATGGAGGATCGTTTTCAGCCAGAGTTGTTTTTAGTTTATGCCATCTATTTCTGTTAGTGGGAATGTTTGCCGTTTCTCCCAGGAGAACTAACTATAAATTATACTTCAGAGAACTTCTAAGTAAATATGTTCATGCCTCAGCACTTTAATGCGTTAATTAGCTATTAACAGTGTCCGTAAATTAGACTTGTCAGAAATAATGGCCTCCTTGGCTGGGATTTTACGTCTACCTCACTTGATGGTGTTACTTCTGAGTCTTGCCCTTAGGAACTGTTAGGAAGTTGGGTCTGCCTTACAGAAGATAAACTGTGCTTGTTGGAAGTCACTGAAGGCTTGAGTCTATAGGTGTTATTAAGACTGGTAGCTCCTGATTTCCAAACCCTGTGTTGACTGGCAGCTCCGCACTTGTATGGCTGACAGTGGGGGTTCATCCTCTACTCTTTGCTCCCCATTTCAAACATCTAGCCAATGAGGGGCTTTGTGCATACAAAAAGCTCAATGGTAATTGCTACTGTTCCATACCAGAGAGAAGTACCTTATCTTCCAGACCAGGGGATTTGGTTGGCAGGAGAGAAGAACCTGACCAAATCAGACCCTACTCCCTCCAGCTCCTCTTGTACAAGAGACTAGAGCAGGTACAAGGGCTGTGGTAGAAGAACTCAGAGTGTGAAACCCAGAGAAGAGAACAGGAGTAGAGGTTACAACTGTTATCATTTCCATGTTGTCTCAAAACTGGAATGGATTAGCCTGGGATTCTAACCACTGTTTACCACCTGGGAAAACAAATGCCTTCCCTCTTCTACATGACCACACTGTAGAACTTTTCCTTTGCTGAAGTCCAGACTACCTGCATTTTCTGTGAGTACATCCTCTAAAATAACTACAGCAAATGCGAATTATGGTGCATACTAGTGATTTGTACATATATATGTATATAAATTATAGATACACACATATTTATTACCCCCCCATCCTTATCTAAGATTTCATTTTCTTTGATTTCAGTTACTCATGGTCAGCTGTGGTGTGGAAATATTAAGTGGAAAGTTCCAGAAGTAATTCATAAGTTTTAAGTAATGTTTGTTATAGTACATTGTTATAGTTATTTTATCATTAATTATTCTTCATCTCTTCCAGTGCCTAAATTCTCAGTAAAGCTTTATCATAGGCGTGTGTATACAGGCAAAAGTATAGTATATACAGGCTTCAGTACCACCTGTGGCTTCAGGTCTCCCCTGGGGTGTGGAAGTCTTAGAACTTGTTCCTCATAGAGAAGGGGAACTACTACCTATATATATTTACTCTCCCCCAACATTTTTGTTTGTTTGATGATTGCTTCCAGAGTCAGCCAGAATTCCTCAAAACCACAAATTAAAATGAATTTCACAAAAATAATGAAACTACCCAGTGGCTGTGGAAGCCTCCTTTCTCTGCTATGCCACTGCCTGCACCCTGGGCTCTGGCTTGGAGCCTTTGGGGTAGAAGCTGAAAACCGAGCTGTTCAGTATTGGCTACCAGAGACCCGAATCGTCCTGCAGCATGAATATTGCTATCAAAAGAAGCCTTCATTGTCCTATTTTGCTAAAAAGAAGTTTCTTTTGCTGTCTTTGATGGCCTTGGCATCAGTGAAATTGTTTTCTGTGTAGAAGTAGCTCCCATTGTATAAGAGAAGGTCATTGTCATTGCAGTCTGCATTTGTGGGGGTTTGAAGTGTGTCACAATTAAGTAAGCAGCACCTGTGTGCTCTTCAGAGTGGACTTTTAGAAATAAAACTTCATTCTTTCTAGTGAAATATGGACTGGAGGCCACCAGTGCTTTCTTCCTGAACTCATGACTATCAGGTCTTAGAATTATTATTTAATAAAGGCTTGAACAATAATAAGTGGTTTTCTATATTCTGGCACTTCAGGATTTTTTTCCAAGTGAAAAGTTTAACACCCAGTGTAAACCTGATGACTGCTCATATGCTCAGCAGATAGTAACTTACACCTGGCATGTGGTACTGTCACTGTTTCAGATCGAAATATGGCAGGGTTTCGAGTGACATGAAAATGGCTATGTGCAAACGTTTTTTGTTTCAATTCTATTGATTTAAAATGTGTTAGTGCCTGGACAAAAGCCACACTGAAGTTTACCATCACCCTTGCTATGCAAACAAAAATGCATGCCTAAGACAATGAATGGTGCAAAAGGAATGATCAAACAGACTAACGGAACACACATCTTGGACACTTGGAAGACCTCCATCTAAATGCAAACAGTTGATTTAATAATTAGAAATGACTCCTCTAGTTAAATGATGTTTTAAGCCCGATTTTGTTATATGTTCCCTGAACATGTCACTAACATAGTTCTTGATTTAGATGCCTCATGGTTATGGCAGTATTCTAGTTAGTCTCATTTATAAGCTTCCACTAATATTGGAAGGTTTAGGAGCTCTTATTTCCAATTGTTAAGTTTTATATTTTTATCATGTCAAAACCATTAAGACATCTATTTGAAGGACCTGACATGCAAAGGACTTAGAGCATTGGGATGATGGCAGATGATGCTTCTCATAGCGGCAGGCAGTATTATGTGGATTTTGTAGTTCCATCTGGGTTGGAATTCATGTATACTCTTGAGTAAGTAATTCACCCCTGGAAGATCACACAACCTTTGTGTGCCTCAGTTTCCTTATCGGTAAAAATGGGAATAATAACATTCAGACCCCTCATGAGAATGGTGCATATACCAGACTCCGAAATGTGTGTCCTAAAGTAGGCACTCCATAGACATTGGCTTGCTTTCCCTTCTTCTTGTCTTGCCCTGTGTTTTAACCAGCATAGTCCTTTTTTGGGAAAACACATCAGGCCCCAGATCGACTATGTAAACTGAGGGTTTCCACCTGTACTGCTGCATGTTTGTGTTAATGGAGATGACTTCCTCTAATTGCAGGTTATATCCAGGCATGTAGAGGACTGATGATCGCGGCTGTCAGCCTGGGCTTTTTTGGTTCCATTTTTGCACTCTTTGGAATGAAGTGTACCAAAGTGGGAGGCTCAGATAAAGCCAAAGCTAAAATTGCCTGTTTGGCTGGGATTGTATTCATCCTGTCAGGTAAACAGTGACTTTCTTCCAGACGAGGTACTGCCTGATGCTCATGAAATAACACTAACCATTGTGCTTTCCCAACGGAACTCTCTAGGACTGTGCTCAATGACTGGCTGTTCCCTGTATGCAAACAAGATCACCACAGAATTCTTTGATCCTCTCTATGTTGAGCAAAAGTAAGTACCTTTTTCGGTCTGTACTTTGCCAGCTCATAGGAAATGTATCTAAATTAGTATTCTAGATTAAGAGGCATGAGTTTCCTATATGACTGTTGAGTTTCCTGTATGGCTTTTGAACGTCTGGGATGCGGATAGATGATGGTATTTGGTGATATTGTTCAAAATTGAATATCTGATTGCCACACTGGCAAAATGTGCATTTCATTGCTCTGTCAAAGTATAAACCTCATCCACTCTACATCTTATATTTGTAGTCAAGCAGAGCAAAAGTGGCAGAGAGATGCAAGGTGGGGAGGAAAGCACGATGAGATGTGAGAATAGAAAATGAAAAGTTTGCCTTGATGCTGTCTCTGGTCCTGTAAAATTTGCTCTATAACTGCCACCTTAATGAGGTTCACCTGATCAGCCCTTAAGAGGAAAACTCTGCCTGATGCCAAATTTTTAAAAAGATGCTTGTAGGTCGTGGCACCTGGATCCAGATGCTGGCTGGTCTCAGTTGCAGATGAGTGCTTTGGTATTAGCTGATCAGTTTGTTGTTTTTGTTTTTAAATTATGGGCTGTTGCTTTTGATGGCTTCCTGAGGCATTTGTATGTATTTGGGTTGGGAAAACCCCGCGGATATCATATCTGCAGTTATAACAGGTCAAATGTTTTGTCATATGTGAGACGATTCCCACATACTTCCGTAGGAAGCCACTGCGTGTACACGTGTGTTGTTTTCAGCCAGGCTGCTAATTCTCTTGCAGATTTTTCTATAAAAGATTTGGAGAATTTGTATGGAGTAAATTACCAAAGTAGTTCGTCAGGTGGGCATTACTTTTTTTCTGCTGGAATTATGAATCTCTAGAAATGGATATGCTAATCCTGTCTTCAGTATAGTTTATAGAGAGTAAATGTTTACGAAAAAAGAGTAAATGTTTATATCATGAAATATTCATGTAATGAAAACAATAGTGAACAAGTGTTGAGTGAGCCTAGTAGAGCACCACAAATATTATTTTATTCCTGCTGTACCCTTATGACGTATATGCTGTTGGTTGGTACTCCCTTCTTGAAGTTGAGGAAGGAGGTCAAATGAGGTTTCCAAGGGCACTTGGGCTACATCAGCAGGCTGATCCAGCTGAGATTTGGACCAGGCAGTCAACTGCTAGGACTACTGCTCTATAATGCGTGATTCATATTATTCTGTTTCATCATTTTCATGACTGTGTGCCATGTATACTTTCCATCAAGGGGGTTTCTTTTGTACATTTAAAATCATTTTGGTCCAGAAATTGTAGTAAACTGGAAACAAGAATAACTGTCTTAGCACTCAGTATGACTTTTAATCTCATAAATACACCATACAAATATATTTCTCATAACTTATTAAGCACATTGCTAACTTTTCTAGGTTATCTCTTGTATGTCACCTGCTTTTATATTCCTGACAATGATTAAGGATGTTTTTGCCTGTCTGCATCTTAAAAATTGTTTGCTCGCTTTGGCAGCACATATACTAAAATTGGAACAATACAGAGAAGATTAGCATGGCCCCTGTGCTAGGATGATATGCAAATTTGTGAAGCAGTCCATATTTTTATAACAAAATACAAAGAAAAAAATTGAGTCTTTCCTTAGAAAGTCGAGGGTAACTTGTGTACACACAGTAACTTAAACCTATCTTTGAGTAAATGTTTTCTGTCCTTTAGCTATGTGGTTGGTCACCCAATTCAGTTTAATAATATTGAATTTTCTTAGTCTCCTTTCAGATTTTTATCAAACTCAGTTCAATAATTGTGTACTCTGAGAAGTTTTTTTTTTTTTTTTTTTTTTTTTTTTTCTTTTATCGACAGGCAGAGTGGACAGTGAGAGAGAGAGACAGAGAGAGAAAGGTCTTCCTTTGCCGTTGGTTCACCCTCCAATGGCCGCCGCTGCAGCCGGCGCACCGCGCTGATCCTGGCAGGAGCCAGGAGCCAGGTGCTTTTCCTGGTCTCCCATGGGGTGCAGGGCCCAAGCACCTGGGCCATCCTCCACTGCACTCCCTGGCCATAGCAGAGAGCTGGCCTGGAAGAGGGGCAACCGGGACAGAATCCGGCGCCCCAACCGGGACTAGAACCCGGTGTGCCGGCGCCGCAAGGTGGAGGATTAGCCTATTGAGCCACGGCGCCGGCTGAAGTTTTTTCTTTTCCAAATTCTTAGTGATACATTGAAGTCCCCCATCCCTACTCTTAGCCTCCCACTTTTCCTTTTTCTATCACTGCCTACTCTGTCTCCGGTTTCTCACCTGCGAAGTAGAGATAATAGCATCACTCCTCTCACAGACAGTGTGTGTGTATCAGCACATATATGTATCTATATGTGCTTACAATAAATGTATAGATATGGGTGGCACAGAGCACACATTTTAGCTATTCTTGGATTGCGTTAACTATTATGATTGCTCTTTCATTCTATTTAAAATGTCAGATTTACCTTTGTTAGCTCTTTCATGCAATGACTTAAAAAACATCTGGGGCTAGCACTGTGGCATAGTGGGTGAAGCTGCTACCTGCGATCTGGCATCCCATATGGGCACTGGTTCAGTCCTGGCTGCTCCATTACTGATTCAGCTCTCTGCTAGTGTGCCTTGGAGGGCAGCAGAGGATGGCCAAGTCCTTGGACAGGGCCACCCATGTGGGAAAGTGCAACGGAAGCTCCTGGATCCTAGCTTTAGCCTGGCTCAGTCCCAGCCATTGTAGACGTTTTGGAGGTTAGCCAGTGAATGAAGGATATCTCTCTCTTTCTGCCTCACCCTCTCTCTCTCTCTCTCTCTCTCTCTCTCTCTCTCTGTAACTATGCCTTTCAAATAGATAAGATAAATGTTTGGACAAATATATATATATATATATATATAATATATATACATACACACACACATATATATATATAAAAACACCTACAGTTTCCATGTTTACCTTTTGCAATCAAAAGCACAATGCTAGGGGTTATGAAAAGCAGCACTGCTTACAAATGGGCAATATTTATGAATAATAGGTCCTTGACATCAAGGTCTTACAGAAAATATAGGCTTTGTCAAACACCTGCATTTTAAGAATGCCTTGGCTTCTTAGTTGGGACTTTCCCTCCTATCTGAATTCCTACAGTGCCTTGCACAAAGAAAGGCCTCTGTGATTTCAGTGATCAAGGGATTATCAAGGCCTGAGAATTATAAATACGATCATACCCTATTGACCCACAGTGCAGAAAAGAGGCACAGAAATGACATGTGACACCCCCGGGACTGACACACCTCATCTGAATGAAACACACTTCTCTAAAACTCAACATACCAACTAATATTGCTTTCATTCCCTTTATCAAAACCTTCTAGTAGAGGAGAGGGGGATGGGAATTAGGCAAATCAGTAAGCTACCAATTGATGATGAACACAAAATAAACTGGGCTTGGGGAACCTGAAATGTTATCATCTTTAAAGCAAGATTTTGATGTGGCATAAATTTAGGGGATAGCACTTCCTTAGCTGGCATTACTTAGTAATCACAGCCTCTGATTTCATTTGTCCATGAACTTGGAGAGGACTGTGTCAGAAAATCAAAGCTCATGGCATGGGCCGACCTTGGGTGAGCTTGAATTTGGAAGGTGTGGCCACCATAAAGAGTCTGTTTGATGTCTTAATCCATCAGCATAGGAATTAAGTAGGTTCCCCGAGGTTATAAAACACCTATTTCAACTCTTCTTTGCCTAGCAGTGCCTGGAAGTAAAATTCTAATTTGTAGAGTGAGTCCTTTTAGGATTAGCAATAACTGAGCTAAAAGGAACGCCCACTCCCTCTTTCTGTTATCATACATTAATCTTACAAAAACTAGCTACCACCAGAATATCTCTTCCAATCATAGAACTGATGCACACGTATTTGGGACCTTAGATAGGGCACTAAGAGACAGCTGTTTGCCCCATGCTTGTATTTCCAGTGAGCAGATATTTGATCTCTGTTATCCAGACCCTAAGATGGGCTGGAAACCAGTTCACACCTCAGAGTGTCATTTTGTTGTTGTTGTTAAGACTTCTGTACTGTATTAATTGGATTTTTGTAGATGTATACAAAGTTCCTACACCTTGGTTGCCTAGGTTTGGAAAATACAACTGAGCTTTTGTATAAAGTTATCACTACCTTCCTACTATGTGCAGGGAACCCAGTGGGAGATCTGTTGATGAGAAAAGGTGAGAAACTAATGACGTACCTGGAGTAAAATTAAGGCAGTAATGCTGCAAACTGTGTTGTGCTTTCTGTTCAGTGAGTAGGTGTTGTAAAACCGCTACTGTCTCACCAGGTGTCTGGGCAGATGTTTTTCCAAGTTAACAGCACTGCAGTCTTTAAAGAGTTTCACCAGACTGAGTTCTGCTACCTTCTCCTCTTTTTTCCCTTCATTGGTTTCCTTTCATTTGAGGTGTGATTACGTTTGATGGCTGTAGCCTGGGCTCCTGCAGGGCCTGGGAAACTCAACTCTTCCCTTTAGAGTGTTTCTCCTTTTTATGAAAACTAAGCCAACCAAATCTGAACAAACAGTCTCCCCTAATACAAGCGTGTGGTCACAGGTGCCCCTTAGTGTGATTCACAGGGTCATCATATTATTGCCATCATCACTTTGTTGTCCAAAACCACTAGCTTCCGGAATGTCTTGCTTTGTTTTCTTAAATAAACTGTTCTAAGTAAGAACTGATTGACATGAAGAAACTGCTTTCCAAATCAAGCAAAGTTACCGCACTTGACCGCTGCCCTACTTGAGGAAACAGCATGTTCATCTTTGATGTATTCTCTTTTCTTATAGGAGATCGATCATTCACATTTTGGCTCAGATATTCTCATGCGTGTGTCTTATCCTCTACACTTTTCTGATTTCAGACTTTGCAAAACCATGGGGCACGCTTCATGCTTGGCATATATTTAGTTTCTACCTTAGGATTTGACTTTCACTTAGGTAAAGCCTTTTAACCTCTGTGATGTTTAGTTGTTA